TGCACGTAGGGGTCTTTATTAGTGGGAGGACACCGGAGGACCCGGAGAACACCCACAAGATTAGGCAGGCGACAATACTCCTTGCCACTTGACTGAATGACAGACCTTCTGATTCAACTTACTTATCGAGTCGGTACGCCTATGAGCATTCCACCCGAGAGAATGTAATCCTTATTTTTAATTTTATTGTTAATGGATCATCTATGTTATTTTCCACCAACTACACCAACTTCAATTTCTAATCTCCATCAAATGTCTCCAAAGTTCGATCGTTATTGTATTATTAATAATTCAAGAATATTTTCCTCATACATCATTCAATAATGTGGGTTTTTTCTTTAAAGAGAGGTGGGCGAAATGGCCCGTCGCCAATTCGCGCCAAATCATGTTTGGACATATACCAATGCTGTTGACTCTATAGGTGGAACTGAAGAGAATAAGTGTTAAGAATCAAAACACCTTGGTGCTCCGTTCTGGAGCTATGTCCCTTGTCCTTTACGAAAATTTGTGAAATATGTACAAAGATTTGAACACTCTAGAGCGCACAATTTTTGATTTAGGTTAAGGGTCAAACGATCTTGGATGAGTTCGATTTTGGTAGAAAATTTGTGGAGCCTCTAGGGCTTAAAAGATCGAAGATGAGTTCCGCAGTTATGTCACCTTTACGGACAACCAATATTTTTAACAAGTTCTTTTCCATATTTAGTTGTGGTCATAGGAGGAAGAACCATGTCGAAAATACAAAATTTTAAAAATGTATGACTGTGACATCTATTTTTTTAAAAACGCAATAGACCAAAGATAATTAATATTAATTAAAAGCTTATCGTGGAAAAATAACTATTATCTGTCCACTGACAAGAGATTATTTCGACCGTTCATAAAATCTTGTGGATACCAAAAAAAGATATATTTAGGAAAGGACAACCCGAAAATACTTAAATATCCGTTTGTGCCCCTTCAACCGAATACTAGTATTATAACAAAATCGGAACTGATAAGAAAATACTTCGAAACAAATACTCGATGAGAGGGCATAGGCGTGGCTGTAGGCAACATCGAGTGAGTCTCCGACAAAGAAGCGTGACTTTGAATGACTGGATTCTTACGACTTCAACATTAATTTCTAATACTGCGTAGGCGTATATGGTTATAGCAACATTAAAAAAGATCTAACTTCGCAACTGACGATTTATGTTGATTAACATGTTTCATAACAAACTCTCAACGCTGACCCAAGTTTACGATAACCTTTGTGTTTAGCAAGTCTTTAATTTCCACAGATAAAATCAAGGATATTACCTCAGGCAAAGGTATTACCCACACACATATAATTCGTAACGAAAAGATACAGATATTAATTAACCTAATTTACCCGGGGCAGAACAAGTTGGCTTATCAAGCCTTACCAATTTTTTTTTTCAACATAGGAGAACGTGTATATGGAGACCGGATCCCAAGTCATTATATACACAGATAATTGGCCTATTATTGAGACTCTACATTCCATTTTAGCTAATTATATATTGACAGTAGCAGAAAGGGAAACTTTGGTGAGCTTAAGGAAGGAAATATCTTTGGATTAACTTATTTTTGGTGTTTTATAGATTTGGGGATATTTCTAAGTAATTAAAAGCTGGGGATTTACGATCTTGTGAATGTGTAACTTGTACATGAGTTGCCTTATTAACACCAAAACATTTCAGAAGGGGATATCTCGGTAACTAATAAATTTTTAACATCTCAATGTTTCACGGATTATCATTTGAAACGTTGGGATGGAATAAAAGACAACAGTCGTCACAATCTCGCTACATTTTGAAAAATAAAGGAATGTAGTTATTGTTACTGACGGACATATATGATTTTAGTTTATTTAGTGGGCTACTATAGAATAAACTATAGCTATCGTTGCAAATGCAAGTAGAGAATTAATCGTAACTAAGTAATGCATGAACTATTTTTCTCACTTAGATCCTGGTAGCGGGAGGTCTTTTTGTGTCCAACCATGTATTTTCAATAATATATGTGAAGGGTTCCCTGAGATGCCATGGAGCTTATAATTAACTGGGTTTCGATTAATTAACAAATATAGTATTAATTCACAATATATTCTCGCTTCAGATCTTTGTTTAACTTGGACAATCGTTGCCCATCATGGACAATGAATAATTAATATGCTTCTTTTTAAAATCGTCCAAATCTCTTAACGGTTGTTATTTAGAATTTCTGCGAAGGCTTATCCATGCGGAATAATTGGCGAGTTCTGTGTGAATTTGAATTTGATACGCAAAACAATACACATGTATTATCTTAATTAAAGTGGAAATTTCCCTTCAAAGGAACACGACTTCTTATTAAAATTGTTGAATAGGGTCGATTGGTGTAGTGGAATTTTGATTCCAGTAATTGGACGATTCCGGTTTCTTGAAGAGGAATCTATTTTCTAGAATGTTAAGTTATATCTAAAATACTACAAAGATGTACAGAGAATACTGATTACAACTTTAAAAAATAAATTTGTTGCTTTCCTCATAAGTTTAACATTACAGTTATCATTGAGCATTTGAAGATAAGTCATAGTGCCAGCAGTTCTCTTCTTCAAAGTAAAGTTGGCATGGATGCTTCTCAAAACCTACAGTAGACATGATTTGCAACAATTAAAATACCAGACACAAACAGATCAAGGTTGCCATTGTATATGTTTAATGTTTACTAGTCTGTTAAAATGTAATCAGAGGACAGTCATTAAATGTTACGTCACTAAGGTGTTAAGACTGGAACTATAATAGAGTATTCAATTGTGATACGAGAAAGAGTGACACTTTCACATTAGAAATGCCATCTTTAACAGCTAGTTACATACCTGCTAACCGATCACTACGGTATAATGTCTAATACCTTTCTGTACATAATAAACATTATTTTATAGTAATATTTGCTTTTATGGTTTTTTTTTTTACCAAAAATGCCCATTTTTAAAAGGTCGCGGTTAATATAAGTGAACGATTTTAGAGTGAATGCACGACCATGTCTAATACATATGATGTCATCCACCGCTTGTGGTTCCTTGAGAAGGGTTTTAAGGTGTGTTAATACCTGGCATTTTAACAAAACACAAATCTACATAACTGGTGCCAATTACTCCAAAAACCACAAGAATCGCATGACTGTCATTCCTATAAATCTTTTGGAAAGGCCTCTCACGGACGAAATCTGACCGATGCTGTCCGTTCCTATTACCACGCAACCCCACCCCTGCTAAGACTATTTTGGAGTCCTCATCCTCTACTTTTCACAGCTATTCTTATTTGCTCGTCTAACGTTTTCAAGTTTTTCCAGTGGACAGCCGTGTCAGTGGATCTGAAACTTGATAAAATGACTTCAGCTCTTGCTCGTCAAACCCAAATAGGATATTGGCCTGCAACACCTCTTGTGGCTGAGATATCAGGTTCTAAAGTTGTGGCTCACTGGCCAGGCGATCCCGGTTTCGATGGAGAAAGTGAATTCCTCGGGATTTACTATCCTGGTTTTACCTTGTCAGTGTTACAGAGCTAAGTGTCTGGTGAGGAAAATCTAGTCTCGATGGGATGAAAACCCGAAGTCCCATGCTTACCATTGTTGGCAGCATATTAAAGATCCTCTAAGAAATGAGAATATGAATAGGCCGTAGTGCCAGAATCAGAGTTCCCTCATACCACACAGCATGGCTACCCTCATTAGTCCGGTTTGTAAAGAGAAGCCGTTTAATATAATACGATTATGTTTTGTTTCTTTCTATAACATCATTTTTCTTTATTTAAGAGCTTAACAAAAATAATATCTACAATTGTAGCCACAAAGAAATTAACTGCAACCTTTGACCATAAACCTACTAATTTCCAAAAACCATTACCACCCAACGGAAGTCATAAGCTAACTATATCCTCTAATAAGACTCCTTATGTTATTACTATAGATAATTATTGTCAATCCGCTAACATAGTAACTTTATCTATGTCTCTGATTTTCATCAAATATTATTTCCAAAGGGAATCTTGGGTGATAGTTATAGAAGAGTAATTTCCAAACGTGGCAGTCTGAGACTGATTAAACTAGTTTATAATCCATCAGTTTTATAACAGTCACACCATAATAACCTATAGTACTATCAAGCGTAAATCATATTACCAACCGAGAAGATTCGCCCTCTAGATTCAATCCTACAAAATGGTTTCTTATAAAATAATATTAAAGCAATTAATTACTAAACTGGCGTGTTTTTGATTCCCCGGTTGTACGCGACTAGGAGTAGGTTCGCCTGTCCAACCTCGTAGGTTTTCTCCGGGTCCTCCGGTTTCGACCCACTGCTAAGGACCTCAACGCGCACGCGAATTATTGAAATGAATTAAACCATGTGTTAGTCCAGAAATGACCCAGTTTGTGTCGAGAGGAAGTTAAACCCCATTTTTTTTTATAGAAAACATACCCCGCCACATACATGACACCCACCACTGCTTTACGCTAAATGAAGAGATACGTTTCATCTGGCCTTCAGTAGCTGTCGTCATAGATCACCAAGTAAATGTCCAGCAAAAATGTGTTAGCTCTATGTGAACTCAAGAGGTGTTCCCAGGTGTTCTTAAAAAAGGAGTCTGCACAGCCTACCCCGTGAACATTCTTTTCCAGTTATAGCCAACCGGTGCTATTTTTCGAACCTGAATTTGAGAAGGCCAACCGTCAAGTAGTTTAAGACAAAAGTACAATAACCATGTTCCGCCATACTGTGAAATACCAAAAAGGGGACGTAATATCAAATGATTTAGAAAGAATAAGCATACCATGTATTGTGCACGAAGACCGTCATAGTACTCACAAAAGATATTAGTCCAACTTTAATTTTGAGCAAACACCAAATAAAGCTTTAACGTGAGTGGGCGAAAGATTATTAAAATCGATTTGCCAGGGGGCATGATTACGTCTTTCATCTATGAATTAATAAAACCCAACAATGATCTTACCTATCAATAGCTATAGCCGCTAAAGTATTAACTGAGGCGCAAACAGATACTCCTTGTAGGTAAGGCGTGGCTCTACACAAGAAAGCTCCAAAAGGCCAACCTAAAAGTAGAAAATAAGAATAAAATATTATGTTAGACACCGTTCAGCGTATATTACAACGTTTGCAATTATGCAAATTTGATTAATGGAATTAACAAATATCTTCTTTAAAAAGTAACATGCTGATTTCTGTCCTGAGGGATTTTGTTTTTGACAAATGGTCAAAGAAATATTCTAAATTAAAACCATTTCTTCAGATTATGTAACACGATTTTTAGGTAAGCTCGTAGATCTAAGACTAATTTGATTTTATATTGATTTTTGAGTTGTCGCTAGGGCAGTGGGAGAATGCATCATCGAAAGTAAATGTACAAAAGATGATTACACCCAGTGGTATTCTTTAGGGTGCATTGGTGAGAGTGGGGCTGTATATCTATGTTGTGTATCTTAATATATTGAGTTGTGTATCTTTATATACTGAATTTTGCACTCGCTATATTGAATTGTACATCTAAATATAATGAGTTAAACAAACTGCAAATGCCTCGTAACTGTAACATCAAAGCGCAATGTACTTTAACAAACAACATTAAGTCCCCAAAAGACAAGTCAGTATAATGCCCATAATTTTCCTTGTAGCCTTTTAATATACTGGAATATAGATTAAAGGGGGGAAATACCATTATTCCTTAACATTAATCAACAAAATATCGGCGGATCAAAAGTAGATTTAGGCAGACCAGTCAACAAAATCACTTCGATCTTAATTATCCGATGATCTCACATTGACTTTTAATACGCTAGTGAACAAAATACTTCACACAGTGCTCGATGTAATTTTAGGAAACTTTGTTGGGTTGTTCATTGGTGGTATACGGATGAAATCTATGGAAAATCTTACTTCCCCGTGTAGCTCTTGTCTTTTAGAGCAGCTTTTGACAGGGTTGTTAACTCGAGTCTGTTAAAATGTTCCTTCCAATTTATGTTTTTTGTTTGTTTTTTTAAATCTTGTGAACCTGACACAGAAATTGATTCTAAAGGTAGTACAGTCGACTTTGCCATTAGTGGACGTTTTATGGTGGTCTGACAATACGATTTTTATTATTTCTATTGGCTTTATACCTGACAAGCGTATCACGTTTTATTCAGGAAGCAGCTGAATTAGTTTACATTATAGAACTTTTAAAATTATAAATGTCAGGAAAAGAGTAATATACTGCAATAGATGTCTGCTCTTAGATTAGACGGACTGCTTTCATCACAAAATTGAGACGAATCCGTGTGAGATGATCCACAAACCAAACGATAGGCTTGACCTGTGAAAAGAACTTGAAACGGTTTTGTTAATTCTACAATCGAATTATTGTTTTCATTAAAAGGGTAATTTGGGACCAACATGTCTTTAAAAAGCTGGTTGTTGCGGAGGGGGGGGGGGTGCGAGAATATTATCTGTAGCATTCAAATCCAAATTCTTCATAAAAATCCATAAAATAACATGTCTTGATCTCTACCTGTTTCGTAAGACTAAATTCTTCACTCGTCAAAGATTTAGATGTCAAGAATTAGTAAACTAAATATCTATAATAATAAGTGCAGGAGGACCGCACTACACGAAAACAAATCCAGTAAGACAACCCTTTGGACAAGACACACTACATAGACATTGCAAGGCATAAATTACATGCTGTGATTTCTGCATGTTTCGTATGACAATATACTCGAGAAAACAAGTTTATAAATATCAGGAATTTTATATTTAATATTCTATGATCAAAGTAGTTGAGGAAACGTCTCGAGACCATTGTCACATTTCTATCAACCTATGGGCCAATGTTAATTACGAATACGGGATCTGCACCGGTGGTATAAATGTCGATTTTGACCCAGAACTGATATATAGGCGAAGAGTGCTTCTGCACAAAACTTGCACATAACTCTGTCAACAACAGAAACGAGCTCTTACGACGTACATATATGCATAAATAGCGTATTTAATAACTTTGCCTTTTAATGACAGACTATACAAGTAGGAAGACTGACTGAGATGTATCCGCTATATATTAGGAATCTCATTGGCACGAAAGGGTATTCCCGTAATACATTTGAATGCAGTAATTTTGTCTTATTAGTTAATTGAAAAAAAAAACCGTAGAGTTATTTCAGCGGTTAAAAATCTAAACCCTTAAAATGTTGAACTATTGGTTATCTTTTACTCTATAATCCCCGGAGACAGACATGCAAACATAATATATATTATTATCCATATCCGCGTCAAATGGGAATGTTGAAATTGTCCAAATGGATTCAGACAACCAAAATGTCCTATCTTATTGACATTGTACCCCCTTTAATGGAGATTTTTATTGATTTTTTAATTTAAAGAAATTGGATTGAATTTAGATTTTTTTTACATCATTTACACTTTACAGCCTGAATGATAACATGGTTAAAAGATTAGTTACGTTGATATGCATGGCGGATGTCCTAGTAACACGTGTGCTAGTGTGCTACTTCTCTTCCAAGTAAAGAGACGCTCATTAACAAAGTCTATTGTAATCTGTGAACTGTTATTTGAAACTTAGAGAAATCCCCATTACGTACATTTTATTCCAAAGATATATCAACCACAATCCTTCTTTAGAGTCCGTATCTGTACAAGGTAATTCGCAAACGAACTATGGCTATAGCAAATTGAAAGCGAATGAGCGTTTGTCAAATCAGATCTGAAGAAGAATGTAGTCGTTAGCATTTTTTTTATTTTTATTTTAGTTATTCCAGAACACGATCTAATCATGAAGGTGTATCAAACATCTAAAAAGTGTTTCAGAATTGTCTGGAGACCATTTGATATTATTAATCATATACCAAGTCCCATATTATTGACCAATTTACCATGTAAATGTCGTCATAAAATAAGAACAGAAGTATAGACGTCATCTGCCTGTGTGTACTGCAAATATCACCCCGCCCCATCCGCCAAGAAAATGGTATAGCTATTCTGATTCTCTTGCAACAGTTGGCCACCAATACAGCCATAAAGAAAGGAAGAGTAAAAGCGAGTCATTTTAATTAACTGTGGGAGTTTGCATAACTGATTTTAACCCACGGAGGGATGCAGTGTTAAGTCTGATTTTAACTTATTACTCGCGACGTTAGGGTCATTCAGAGACTGTACTCTTAAACAAAAAAGATGAGGTTTTAGTAGGTTTACTACACCAGAAGTATACTTATTCAATGATTTTCAAATTTAACTTTCGGAGTTCTATCCTTTTGTAACGAAAACCCCGTTTACAGTCTGTATGGTATAATTATCGCGCGAAGAGTAGCAAGGCCACGTTAATATTTGTGGTCTGGAAGCTAAAATTATCATTTGATCTTTTCAAAATTTGTAAAAATGAAGAAAGTTTTGTTTTCCAATAATTTCCAGCGTTATGCCTCTTTGTTACCAAACGTTTTTAATTCTACATAGGTTGTACAATCTTTCCGAATATAAGTCACAATAAAAAATATCATATGGTTGTCAGATAACATATATATACACCACACCGCAGTTTTGCGAAGAGAGGCAAAAAGTCACAGTATGATGTGATGTAATAGTATGCTCAAACAGAGCGTACACAAGGTTTCAGCGATAAAATGTGAAGAAAATGGATATACTACTCTAAAGTCAAATACATATCTTTCTCATAACGAGCAGACTAGTTTTAGCTTTTTTTACATATTGGAAACGCTGACCTGTAGAGCAGACACTTTCCAAATTTTTGTCACGAGGGTAATAATTCCACATGAAAGTTATGCGTGGTTAAAAAATATACCGTGGACATGCGTGGTTAAAAAATATACCGTGGACATATACTAATGTAGTTAATGTCTAGAATTATTATCTAATTTATTGCCAGACATCTCACAAACCTTACGGGCCATAGAAATACATCGAATAGAATTTATTAAAGATTTCGCAGCAGGTTTTATATTTGAAAAGAGAGCCAAATTACTTTCTTTCGAAAATAGCTTACATTTCGTAGCACTATATTATTAGGCACCAAAAACACTTGGAAAGTACATTGTCCTGTAAGTAGGCTATTCGGTTTTCTTTCCTACGACATACTGCGCAGATTGTCATTCTAACAGTAGGAACTGTTGGTATGCCACCTCTACTTATATCTGGAATTTACGGTAGATTTAATTATTCGATTCTTTTCATTCCAACATCTTTTTGTTTAAATAGGCTTATACTATTTAGCCAGTCTAAAACAATTAAACACCTATCTGAATATACAGTTAATTTAAATCTTGAAGAGCAATCAATCACATGGTTTATTCGTTTCTGTACGTCTGTATTAGGCATGTTTGAGATATTGTACATGATAACATGTTAGAAAATTCACACTTCAGTATAAAACACGCTAATAATAAGTTGTACTTGAACGTGTAAATCGATTAATGCAAATAACACCAATTCTGAGTTCAAGAAAACTTTTACAAACCAAACATAGTCTTATGTTGACAATATTTCCCCATTATTAATAATATATTTTGGCATAAATGAGCTATAAACTATATTCTTGCAGGGGCATATCCCATCCTGAGTACTATTTATCATCTACAATTATATCCATGCGCTTGTACAGTGGTTATGAATATCGGTTACATTTTCTGGGTATACCTTGTTTGGTTAGTTTTATAGTTTTTAAATGCACATTTTTTAAAGCGGACGGGCGAATTGTAGTACTGTTACATTAGAATTGTAGATGCAAGTTACTAGATTTGAATCAGAAGTGGGTATTGTTTGATAGTATTTTATTGCAATATATATTATATGTTCTGTAACTGTTTTAAATTTATTTCATTTCTAGATCAATATTACTTTGAAATAATGAAGATGTGAAAAAATCGTGTATCGATCAAATTAATTGCACGAGGTAAGTAAATATAGAGTTATGTTTAAAATAAACATTAAATTCTTCTAATGAAGACTGTTTAAATAAATACATACAGGAAAATCGTATATTAAAGTGTACCATTAGTGGATTCTCTTACAACAATACCCCTTAAAAGGT